TTTTTTTTTTTTTTTTCATCGACCGGTAGCCTTCGAATCGAATCGACGAACACACATTTTCTTCTTCGACCGACTTGTCGAACGCGGATACGTATCTATTGTCTTCATCTATTCTCGATGTTATTCAAATTTTTGTTAAATCTTCTGTTATTCTAAGAGAATATTCATATCGTTTGATTCATATCGTTCGTTTGTTGGAATCTTTTGTATTAAGGTAGTGCAAAACTTTTAATTTTTGTTGAATCGTTATTGCAATAATTATTAATTATATTAATGGTGCTTGGGTTGGTGAATTTATTCTAAACATAAAATTTGTTCGTTTTTCATTTATAGTTTTATGATAAATCTTAAGATATATCAATCGCAATTAATAATGGAAATTATTTTGGTTAAATAGTGAAGATATTGAGGATTTTAATTTCAAAAAACTATACCTATTTCATATGTTTCGTTTCTTCTTTTGTCGTTAAAGCAACATCGAATCACAAAGATTTCCTTTTTGCTAACTTTTTTTTAAAATTTTGTTTCAGATGAGCTGGAAGCAAAAGGAGAAGGACGATTTCCTATCAAGAGATCGATTAATTGCATAATCCCATATGTTAAAGTTTTAACGAGAACTCGTTGATGAATCTCGTTTTATAAATTATCTTCGTTCCATTGTTGTAACATTCTAATTGTGGTTTGAATGTATCGGTGAATTGCGACTTTTGACGTTGACTGTCTCATCCTTCTATTAAATATTCAAATTTCTTTCTTGGGGATTAAATAAATAACGCGCGTATAAAGATTTTCTTCTATTGTCTCGTTAAAGTATAATAATATTTTTAAACGATAATGTAATTTTCGAAATGATAATATAATTCAATAAAGATTGACTTAAAGAAATAATAATATATTACAAATACAATAAAATCTCCTATATGTGTTTCGTATAATAAAATAAAAGAGATACAACGGATAATAGAATAATCAAAAAATTATTCAAATGCGATTCAGCAATATAAATATAAGTTTATTTATATGGAAATGCTATATCTATTTAGTAATTAACATGAATTTCTAAGCATGAATAATGTAAATAATTAAATAAAATACTTATTATCGTTTTCTACAACGACATTATAAATATCTAATTATTAAAAATCGTATTTCTTTTTTAATTTCGTTTTAATCAACGATTAACACGGTGATCCAAAAAAAAAAAAAAAAATACAAAAATCCAATTCCTTTTAAAAGTCTTCGTTTAACTCACGTTCCTCCCGCTTATCAAGGAATTTTATCAATTAATCCATCCTGCATCGTGTTTATTTTTCTTTCCTCTTCAAGGCAAACAGAGACGGAATATTCGATGTTGCACGATCAGAAGCTGATGTACGACGCTGGTTGACGCACGACAAATGCCTTGACCGGTGAATTACCCGGTTCATAGAGGGCGATCATTGGCTGTCGGTCGGGTTTACTCGTTGATAGGCACAATCAATATCGAGATGAAAAGAGAGGCGATTGGTTGAATAGAACGCGTGAAAAGATGCGTGTAATCAATTAGAGAGGGCCCGCGGTGTCGAGAGCAAATATCTCTTTCGAAGCAACGTCATCCTGAAATGTGCTGGTCAGCATCCCCGCTGAGCAAAGTTCTGTACGTTTACATATGAACGTAGGCTCTGTATATGTAACGAACCTCGTCTGTGCACACCAACTCTTGTAAATGGCTAGATACCTAGACGTAGATCTGTGTGATTGTCTTGGATAATTTCGTTTCGACTTTAATCTTCTCTCGTTCCAAAGGACAAAATTTTTATATAACATCGTTACTTGTAAAATGATAATTCGTCATTCGTTTGTAGAAGAGATATTATTATTTTTCTTTTTTTACATATATTTTGATGCATTGGATTTAATTCGATCGATATTTTTCTGTCAGAGATCAGAATTTAGTTACTCAATACTTGTATATCGGATGGATAAAAGTTAGAATTGTTTTGATCAAATAGATAAAAATAACTTGTAATATTCGCAGATTTATTGAAAACAAACAGTAAGCAGTCGTATAATTTCCTGTAATACTTCATATACTCACATGCATTTCATATATATTGTATCTGGAATTATAAATATTATAGGTACCTATTAAAATCCTCCGTTGAATAGATTTAATACTTGTTACTTCTTCTCAACAAGTTAAAATACAGAATCAAACGAATCTTGTTTCGTTTCTCTTTCTTTAATAAATATACTTACCGATTTTCAAGAATGAATTCCCCTTTTAACGTCGTTTCTTAAATAATATACTACTCTACAACTGTGTATCTGTTACAACTACTCACTAACCTTGAATACAAATAAAATTTACA